TACTGCTCAAATACAAGTTGTTTTGGGATATTCTAATTCAGGCTTCCCCAAGGTCAAGGTCAAGGTCTGATGATACATTCCTGTAATCCTAACATTCAGAAGGTGAAGGCAGGAGAATTGCAAGCTTCAGGCCATCCTGGGCTACATAGTAAGACCCTATCTCCTCCAAAAAATTTTAATAAATAAAGCTTCTCCCCAAAGTATAACTGATACTACTAAATACTACTTTTAAAAAATAATACAGAGCTAGGCATGGTGGCATGCACCTGTAGGCCCAGCTACTTTGGAGGCTAAAGAAAGAGGATTGCTTGAACTTAGGAGTTCAGACCAGCCTGGGCAACACAGTAAGACCCATTTCAGAAATATATACATATACACCCATATACACCACACCTTACAGGCTGGGGATGTAGCTCAGGGGTAAGGCATATGACGCTTAGCACACATGAAATGCTGGGTTCAATCCCTAACACCAAAAAGAAAAAAAAAAAAAATTTAAAGCAGAAATAGGTGGAATTTATTCCCACTCAATGTTTACCTTTCCTTTTTCCTTTTTAAAAAATCCTGAATTATTATTATGTGTGCACATGTTCTATACATATGCGCATGCACGTCACAGCATGTGTGTGGAGGTCAGAGAACAATTTTGTTGAGTTAGTTCTCTCCTTCCACCTTTACGTGGGACCCAGGACTCAAACTCAAGTTGCCAGGCATGTGCAACAAGTGCCTTTACCCGCTGAGTCATCTCTCCAGCCTACTCCAAGCTTTACTCTAAAACATAAATCTGATGGAAGCAAAAAAAAATACTATTTGTAGGGTGTACTCGTGCATAGTTTGATGTCCACTGAAATTTATGATAGTTTGGTAAAGCTTACATTTAGAAAAGCTGCTATAAAAATGAATTGACCTGGGAGATGGAGACAGGAAAATTGAAGTTCAAGGTCAACTTGGGCTACACAGCAAGTCTGAAGCCAGCCTAGGCTATAGGCAATATAGTCTCAAAATTAATTAATTAAATAATTAATTAATTAAACAATAAAATAACAATGAAATTAATTGACTTTCAGTAACAAGTATTTTTCTAACATCATGAGCTAATGTTGAGGACAAATGTTGCGTGTTTATATACAGAAGTAATATTGAAAAATGACATGATTCAGGTTTACTGTCATAAATCACACCTGCAAATAAGTAAGAACAAGGTCAATATTAAGCAGGAGACACAAAAAAGAAGCAGATGGGTCATGAAAGCGTGGCTGCAGTGGACCCAGGTCTTGTAACATGGGAACACTACTCTCCAGTTTGCATTCTATTTAAATTGTTTTCTCTTCAAATATAAAGAAAAAAAATTTTCTTATACGTGTAAGAAAAAATAGACCAAAAATTCAAATTTTCAGTGCAAAATCTAGGAGGATGCCTGTCTCATCTCCTGTTTAAGTATTTTTGTATGTATTTAGACCTCAGGGGAAAAAAATTTTTTTTGAATAGACTTATTCAAAATGAAAATGAAACTATATGTATCATCAACCAGTTCTTTCTTTTTTAATTTTGTTTTTGTTTGCAAGGGGATCTCACACTGTAGCTCAACTGGCCTAGAACTTACTATGTGGCCCTGAGCTAGTCCCAAAGTCATGGCAATCCCCTCATCTCAGTCTCCTGAGCCCTGAGATTACAGGCATGAGCCAACACACTTGGCTTTGTCAGGTTCTTTTGTTGTTCTGGTTCTTTTGGTTGTTTTGTGTTGTCTTGTGTTGTATTTTGTAGACAGGGTCTCCCTGTAGCCCCAGCTAGCCTGGAACTTGCTAAGTAAACCAGGCTTGCCTCAAACTCACAGAGATCCTCCTGCCTCTGCCTCCTGAGTGCTGGGACCAAAGGTGTGTGCAACTATGCCTGGCTAAAATTTATTTTGCTCTTTTTTTAATTTTAGTTTTGATTTTTTTGGTTTTTTTAGAAAGAGTCATACTATATAGTGCTGGTTGGCTTGAGTGCTGGGACTAAAGGTATGTGCCATCACAACCAGTCAGGTTCTTCTGAATAACAGTGTTGCACAGTATTAGACTGATGTGGAAATACAGAACATCTTAACTAAGCTCTTTAATCAAGTTATTCTTCATTGTTTTATGTGTTGGGCACATATATAACTGAGAAACTAGTGGCCTCCACCTGACTCAATTTTTATCCACCTGATTTTATAAGGAGTGGAATTTAGTAAAGAAATAAGATTGTTGCCAGGTGTGGTGGTACACACCTTTAATCCCAGCACTCAGGAAGGAGAGGCAGGTGTTCTCTGTGAGTTCCAGGCCAACTTGGTCTGCACAGAGAGTTCCAGGCCTGCTGGGGCTACAGGGAGACCCTATCTCAAAAAGACCGGGAAAAAAAAAAAAAAACAAGTAAGGAATGGTCACAATTTAAATCACACCTGCAGCTTCCATGGTCTATGGCATAGATTTCTGAAGAATCACAAAGATGGGGCAGGGTACATGGCCCAGCTGGGCTGGAAAGGCTCAGGACCTGGGTGCAGTTCCCAGCACCTATATGGCAGCTAACAACTGTCCGTAACTCCAGTTCCAGGGAATCAAATGCCCTCTTTTGGCCTTCAAAGGCACTGCACGCATGTGGTATACTTATAGGCATATAGGCAATGCACTCAATCACATAAAATAAAAATAAATTTTAATGACAAAAATAAACACTATTCCAAAGTAAGAGATAAGAAAATTCTTCACCTTTATAGAACTGGACCCCAAAGACTCAGGGACTAGCACAATTCATTTTCCATGCAGAACAATGCAACTTAATTTTCTACTACACATCACACTGTTACCCCATCTACTTTGGAAGAGATCTTAACATCAAACATATTATCTCTGAACTTCCAGAGAAAGTAGAAAAAAATAGAAGGGAAAAAAAAAGATAAAGGGGCTGGAGAGATGGCTCAGCAGTAAGAACACTAGTTGTTCTTGCAAAAGACCAAGGTTCGAATCCCAGCACCCACATGGCAGCGAACAACTGTTCAAAACTCCAGTCCCAGGGGATCCAACAGCCTCTTCTGTCCTCTGCAGGCATTGCACAACATAGGTGCAATTACCTACATGCAGGCAATACACACATATACATAAAATAAAAATAATAAATAAAATTTTTTAAAAAAGATAAAAGGAAGCCACAGTATGGAAGAATTCACCAACTCTGACAATTCCAGTCCAGAACGTTTGGAATTAGCAGCTATTTCTAGTGCTTGATAAACACAGCACCATGGAGCTAGCATTTACATAGATATCCTAGGAAATGGTATCCTATCCGGTAAAGCCATGATAGGATTGTAATGTGCTATACATAACATCAGGAAATGATGTAACTGCCCCAACGCTGAAACAGCTATTTCTCACAGTGGCAGTGATCGATGTGGGCTGCCTCACTCTGTCTGGCACACACAGAATCCAATACCAACCCTGTAAGAGAGCTGGCCCCAAGATGAAGGTTTAGGGATATGGCATAGAGCCAAACTGGGCTGCTTGAGGGTCATATCCATAACGTTAATCTCAACCTTGCCAAGCAAGCACAAACCACAATTGGAAATAACAATTGAGATCTTGAAAAATGCTCTAGGCAGGAGACTTCTTCATAAATTGTACTGACTCCTTAAGACAATGCAGAATGTGGGAGTGAGCTTTTCCTTCACTCAGATCTACTCAGATGGGATCAATGGTAGAATGTTTACCTGATATGTGTGAGACCCTAAATTCAATCTTCAGTACCACAAAACAAAAAAGAGATAGAGGGCCAGTGAAGGAACAGTGACAATCAAGACCTCACACACTATCCTAACATCTTCTTAGAAACAGTATGTAATCACTTAATAATGCAAGTATAAATAATATCAGGTATGTGAAGCTCACTAAGGGATGGGTTTAACTATATACACAAGCCTCCCTTAAAGGTAATTTAAATGCCAAACCACCAGCTTTTGTGACTTAGAAGAGACATACTACCTTTGGCAGTGTTTTCTTTCTTTTCTTTTTTTGTATTGTTTTGGGATTTTAAAAATATTTATTATTTTTATTTTAGATGTAGGAGTGTATTGCCTGCATGTATGCAAGTGCACCCATGTCATGCAATGCCCAAGGAGGTCAGAAGATGGCATCAGAGCCCCTGGAAGTGGAGTTACAGATGGCTATTAGCCATCATGTGGGTGCTGGGAACCAAACCCAGGTCCTCTGTAAGAGCAACCAGTGCTCTTAACCACTGAGCTATCTCTCCAGCCCCTTTGTTTTCGTTTTTGAGACAGGGTCTCCCTGTGTGCTGGATAGCTTTAGTGTCAACTTGACACACCTGGGTTGAGGGAGCCTCAACTGGGGAATTGCCTTCATTGGACTGGCCTGTGGCCATGTCTGTGAGGCATCTTCTTGATTGTTGTGTGATGTGGGAGGGCCCAGCACATTGTGGGTGGTGCCACCCCTGGGCAAGTAGGCCTGTGTTGAATAAGAAAGCAGGTTGAGCAGGGGCCAGGAGAGCAAGCCAATAAGCAGCATTCCTCCATGGCCTGTGCTCCAGCTCCTGCCTCCAGGTTCCTGCCCTGAGTTTCTTCTACCTTGGGCTCCCAATTGAACTGTGACCCGGGATATGTAAGCTAAATAAACCCTTTCCTCCCCAAGTTGGTAGTGGTCAGAATAGTTTGTCACAGCAATGAAGTAACAAACTAAGACACTCTGAAACCCCAGCTGGCCTGGAACTTGATATGCAGACCAGGCAGGCCTGGAACTCACAGAGATCACCTGCCTCTGCCTCACGAGTGCTGGGACTAAAGGCATGCCCTTGAAAGCCAGCATATTTAATAAATTATTTCCCAAAAGGTCAATTTCTATTTTCAAAAATATCTAAGTCACTAAAAATAAGAAATATTTGGTTTAAAATGTACCATAGTTCCCAGTCATCCCAAGATACTGAGTTCATTCACAGTATTAAGAAAACTGAGGGGCTATGATCCACTGATTACTTACTTGTTAAAAAAGGGTTCAATGAGTTTTGATCTGGCAGACACACAAATTTTTGAAGGACCGAGTAAAGAACCTAATGAAGAGAAGCAGGACATTACATATAGCCATGTAGTCAAAGCCTGGAAGCTCCAAAAAAAATATGTTACATTTAATAGGTTACAAATGGTACAGGTAAAAGGTAATCTCACAGGCCAGGTACCTCACAATGGGCAAGTGCCAGCAGTCCCTTCCTCTGTGTTCCCCTCCCCAGATCCTTCAGCTTCTCTCTCAAAACCCTCCTGCTTCTACCTGGGTGGCCAGGTTCTGGGGCAATGGCAGTGATACACAGTCTGCCGTTCCCCATGCCCCCCATTCCCATGTGGAAGCCTAATCCCAAATACAATGGTATCTGGAAAAGAGCTATTTGGGAGGCAATTAAGGGGACTGGTGCCTTTGTAAGAAGAGACCCAAGCCTTCCTCCTCCCTGCTCTCCACCATGTAGGACACATGCTGTCTGCAAACCAGGTGTCAGTACCTTAATCTTGACTTTTCCAGCCTACAGAATCATGAGAAATAAAGATCAGCTATCTAAGCCTTGTCTATGATCATTTGTCACAGCAAGCTGAGTTATGAGACAGGTAAGATTCACTCTATTGACAGAAAGACATATAGAGAGTACCTAGGTAATCTGCCATGGAGATGAAGCACAGTCCTGTGATGTAAGCATCATAACCTGCCTCATGGAGCTGCTCAGAAGCCGTGTCATAGCTTGGAAAGCCTTCTGCACTTTCTAAAGAAAAACAAAAAGAAGAAAACAATTTTCCCCAGAGCATCACAAAACACGAAAACTGGTAAGCATGGTGTCCTGCCAAATGCAACCTGCATTATTGTTCGCTGTAGATAGGGCCTAAATAAGAAGCAAGGGACACTATTTCTCCATCCTGTCTACACAACATGATGGAGATCTTACAACATGAGATAAGAGTCACTGAAAATGAGGGCTTTGATTTAGACCAGAGAACTGCCTCCATTTCCTTCTCTGCCCATACTGGTGGGTGCCATTTGCAAACTCCTGTCTTCTGATAACTATTCCTCTTGTGCTTGCTTCCTAAAGTTATGAAACAGAAGGTCTTCCCCATACACAGGACACAGCACAGATTAACAGCAGGATTCTGAGCTGGGTATGGTGGTTCATGCCTGTAATCTCAGCACCTAGGACACAAGAGGTGGGAGAATCACCGCAAGTATGAGGCCAGCCTAGGCTTAATAGTGAGTTCTAAGCCAGTTTTAGCTACAAAGTTGGACCTTGTCATTAAAAACATAATAAACTATTAAAAACACAGCAGGACTTTGGAGTCACACTTTGCTCATCTGAATCTCTGCTCCATCACTCACAAGCTATGTGACCCTGAGCAAGCCACTTCACTTCCGAGCATCCAGTTTTACAAAGAGGGAATGACAATCAAACTTCCCTCATAAGGCTTTTTGGGGCATCAATGTTAGTAAAGTTCTTCCCCAGTGCTTGGTATATGGTACATGCCCCTAACTATTATCTATCAACATCCCAAGTAACCCTCCCCACAAAACAAGAGATTCCAATTCAACATTGGTAGCACACAGTCAATACCACTCTCAACAAATATTTCTAAGCTCATCAATCTAAAGGCAACAGCATACCCAACTCCTGAAATAGATCAGAACTTGCTGTAAGGCTGCCCAGGGGGCCATTGCACTACAAAGATCATTTTATAATATGACTCCTCAGTCACGCTGACATCCACAGATGCTGAGAGGATGTGAGGATAGTGAACTGCTCCCGAATAAATTCCCTACCAGAGACCACAGTTGGATATGTAAATAACAGGACAGGATAAAGCTCTTACTCATAATTATTTCCTAGAATCATTTGGGAAATGAATGTCAAAAAGGCCACTGCAACACAGCATCAAAACCATGAATGGAAATTGATGATGAAGTGTCTGGTGTATTTCTACACCAATAAGAATGCAAGACCTCTTTAGTTTCTTAAGTATTAAATATCAGACTTGAAGCTTCATAAGAAAGTCTTTTAACATGGTGCTTCTTAAGTAAGATCCTCAACACCACTAGCTGAAGCTCACTCCCCAAACTGATTATTCTATTGTATTGTTACATGGAATGCCTGGGGTTCCTTCTCTCTCTCCACCCCACATCTTCTTGAATCCTTTCTTGGACTATTACCCAGAAAGGGAAGTGATCCATACCCCTGAATGCCTCCATTACCAATTTCTAAACCATCAGTGCTACTGTCAGTGTCTTCAGAAGTTTTCAGGCCACAGCTAATAGAATGGTAACTACAGAGCAACAGCACAATTAGGCCAACAGGCCCGAGGACACAGCCCCCCAACACACAGGTGTGGTGGCCACAAATATCAACACACCTCCCTCTCACAAGAAGTGTTTCTCCTGACCTCTGGTTTTCCTCAATAATGCCGTTTGCACTGCCTAAACTAGCTCAGAGGACACAAGGGTACACTCTCCTTTAATTTCATCAACAAATCTAGGTCTTGAGCTTTTGAGACAGAACATATATTTTCATTCTACACCTAAATATTAATCACTGACTCTTTCTCTCTGCTTAAATAAAGCACCATATGAAAAGATGTTTCAAGTTTTGAGACCACTCCACATATTAGGAAATAAAAGCCTTGAAGCTTTAATATCCAACTTCTCAATGAACATCCATCCAACTCTTAACACGAGCTAGATATAGAATTAGAACATCATCTTTTGTCAGAAAACAGTCATTCAGCCCAGGCCTAAGTTAGCTTGGCCAATGTCTATATGATGCAACACAATTTTAGAGCGACTTCACTCACCTTCTACAGACTGTATCAGGAATTTTCACAAAGAATTTGAAGGTTTTCACTGTATCAGGAATTTTCAGAAAGAATTTGAAGGTTTTCACATTTGATATTCTTACCAACTTTAGGAGGGTTGAAAGGTGTCTCTTTTAACCGCTTTTCCAACTCAGCAAGGGATGTGTTATTAATGATAGCCTGCAGGCAGAAAGCAGAGAATTACAACGCTTCATCTCAGAGCAACATATATTAGGGAGAGCTATCAGGACACCATGGAGGAAAAAAATATCTCATGCTGCCCTCTTGTGTTCTTTAGTGGAACAGAAGTCACTGTTTAATCTGTGTGAAATAGAAGCAAGTTCAAGGTTCACTCTATGAGAAGTATAATGAAATGTAAAGTTTCTACAGTGTTAAAAACCCACAGACTTAGCCAGGCACAGTGGTGCTCACCTGTAACCCCAGTTACTTGGGAGGCTGAGGCAGGAGGATGGAGAATTTAAGGCCAACCTGGACAAAATAGTGAAACAATGAAAAAATTATGCGAGGCAAAAAAACAAACGAACCTCCAGGTTTGCTGGGCTGGGGATGCAGCACAGGCTCGCACTGTCCGAGCACACCACTCACCCAGGTGTAGAAATCCTTCACAAAGCACTGAATGATTACACATTTGTTTAAATTTTCTTTATTAGAAAATAAGTCCAAAATATGTAAGGTAAGGGGGGAAATGGATAAAGGACAAACTAGTTGCAGGTGTTAACTATTCAAAAGTATAAATTAGCCATGCATGGTAGCGCACGCCTTTAATCCCAGCACTTGGGAGGCAGAGGCAGGCAGATCTTTGTGAGTCTGAGGCCAGCCTGGTCTACATAGTGAGTTCCAGGACAGCTGGGGCTATAAGGAGACCCTGTCTCAAAAAAAAAAAAAAAAAAAAAAAAAAGTATAAATTATAGCCCATGTGGCATACGTATGTCATCCCAGCACTGGGGAAGCTGAGGGGTGAGAATGATGAATCTGAAGTCAGCCTGGACTACAGTGAGTCCTAAAAAGTAAAATAGAAAAGTTATATACTTTATAGCTTACATTCAAAAAAACAGAGGAAAATTTTTTAAAAAAAATTCTAGTACTCAAAGACAACTGTTCACACTTTGGTATATTTGTTCTGGCCTTTTCCAATCTCTTTCTTTTCCTTCTTCTTTTATTTATTTATTTATTTTTTTTACTGTATTTGAAATGACATTTAAATAGACCAGAATTACAAAGCTATTAGTAGTAATACAAAAAATTTCAAAGTAAAGTTCAGTACAGAGCTTATATCCCAGCACATAGGAGATGGGGGCAGGAAGATCAAGAGTTCAAGGCTATCCTCAATTACAGATGATGTTGAAGGCCAGCCTGAGCATATGTGAGACTCTGGCTCAAAGAAAAATTTTTTAAAAAGTTGAAATTATAGCCTATCAGTGATAATTCAGATTTAAATAATACCTTAAAAGGCTGTGTGCTGGCCATCAATTTAGTATCCAAGAGTCTAAAAACAAAAGAAATTTCAATAAACAAAATGTTTATCAAAATTCAATATGTATTTTACTCAAATACAAAAAATATTGTTTCATACATAAAATATATAGGTAATATATATACTTAATATACAAAATACCCCAAAATACACTTAAACACTTTAAAGTGGACAGATGAAGAAAGCACACTGGCCAGTCTGAATCAGCAGTGGCATCAAGGCTGTATCAGCCTAAGGACCCAGTTCCATCACCAGGGGCTTCATTCACCAGATAGCTGTAGGACAGTCCACACTAGCACATCAAAGGAACAAGTTCCAGATTTGCTGTACCCAAGACAGTATGGTTTATATCCATCTTGAAGGTAAGGCAAACACTTCTACATTTTCATGTGGTTTGAACACTGGTACAGGTCTAACCCTCCCAAATCCCAACCACCTATACTACCCTGGTTTGCACAGTCTGAATTCTTATGAGGGCCAAAATCGGCATTGGGAAGCTTTAGCTGCTATTTCTTGCTGTGATGGTTAATTTTCATTGTCAACTTGACTAAGAGACAAACCTCTCAATCAGTCTTTGAGGGAGTTTCCAGAGGTTTAACTAAGGAGGGAAGAACGAGCCTAAATGTGGGTAGCACTGCTTTATCATCCGGGGTCCCAACACTGAATAAAAAGGAGAGAAAGCCAGTTAAGTGTGGTATTCTCCTTTCTCTGCTTCCTGGTCAGCTGGTATGTAAGGAGTCCTCGTGCATGTGAACTCCACCATTCCTTTCCCATCATGGTAGAATGCATCCCCAAACTGTGAGCCAAAATAAATCCCCTCACAAGCTGATTTTTGACAGGAATTTCATCACTGCATTGAGAAAAGGTAGTACACTTACTATTCTTTTTATTTAATATCCTATTTATTATTTTTATTTTATGTGTGTGTGAGTGTATTGCCTGCATGTGTGTAAGTGCACCCATGTCACACAATGCCCCCAGAGGTCAGAAGGCATCGGATCCCCTGGAAATGGAGTTACTGATGGCTGTTAGCCACCAAATTGGTGCTGGGAATCGAACCCAGGTCCTCTGCAAGAGCAGTCAGTGCTCTTAACCACTGATCCATCTCTCCACCCCTTACACTTACTATTCTTTTTCTTTATTTTCTTTATTATTTTTATTTTATGTGTATGAGTGTATTGCCTGTATGTCACGCAATGCCGCGGAGGTCAGAAGAGGGCTTCGTATTCCCCTGGAACTGGAGCTAAGAACAGTTTGCAGCCGCCATGTGGGTGCTGGAAATCGAACCTCGGTCCTCTGCAAGAGCAGTCAGTGCTCTTAACCGCTGAGCCATCTCTCTAGCCCCACGCTTACTATTTTATCACAAAGATCTGAAATACTAATGGAGAGACTGACCAATGTAAAAATTCTCTCTACACTGATTTCTTTTCACATATATGTGAACAGGTGGCTGGGACAGCAACGACCTAAATGAAAGAGCAACTATCTGGCTACACCACCTGTCCTTCTTCAAAAGAGCTAAACAGCATCTTGCTGTGTAGATGCTATATGTCTGCTATATGGTTATCACACATGTGACACACGACATATATGAACTAGCATGTAATGCAATTCTAACTGTGGGAAACACTACCAGGTACAAGCACTGATTAAGGGTGTATGGTGGGGAGGGAATCTCTCAGTTCTTAACTGAGAAGAGATTGTTCTCAGTTGGACAAGTCAACAATGCATGAAGAACAGAGTGGTGGCAAAGCCCTTCACCAGTGCTTCACATAGCAAGATGTAGGGTAAGAAAAGGAAGCCAGCAGCTACTTTCATTCTCAGTCAGAATTCTGATTTATTTTTTATTTTTTACTTTTTACTTTATGCATATGAGTGTTTTGCGTGATTGTAGGTACACCACTTGCGTAAAATTATGGATGGTTGTTAGCCATCATGTCAGTGCTAGGAACTGAACCCCAGTCAAGAGCAGGCAGTGGTCCCATCCACTGAGCCACCTATCTAGTTCCAGAATTCTAATTTTTAACGAGATGACAAAACTATTCATAAATTTAAATAACCAATTATGTCAAAGTTGGAGATTGTGCTGGATAGCTTCAGATGTCAACTTGATACACCAGGGAAGAAGGAACCACTTCTAGGGAATTGTCTCTTTTTTTGGTCTTTTTGAGACAGGATCTCCCTGTAGTCCCACCTGACTTTTTTTTTTTAATTAATTTAAAAAAAATGTTTTTCAACTTTTAAAAAATTTTAGCTGGGTGTGGTAGCACATGCCTTTAATCTCAGCACTCGGGAGGCAAAGGCAGGTGGATGTTTGTGAGTTCAAGGCCAACCTGGTCCACACCGTGAGTTCCAGGAGAGCTGGGGCTTCAGGGAGAACCTGTCTCCAAAAAAAAAAAGCAAATAGCCAGGCATAGTGGTGAAGGCCTGTAGGGCCTGTAGTCCCAGCACTTGGGAGGCAGAGGCAGGTGCATCTCTGTGAGTTCAAGGCCAGCCTGGTCTACATAGTGAGTTCCAGGACAGCTGGGGGCTACAGGGAGACCCTGCCTCAAAAAAGCGGCAACAAAAAAAGTTGGTTTTTTTTGTCTTTTGGTCTTTTTGAGACAGGGTCTCCCTATAGCCACAGCTGTTCTGGAACTCACTATGTAGACCAGGTTGGCCTTGAACTCACAGAGATCCGCCTGCCTCTGCCTCCCAAGTACTGGGATTAAAGGCGTGTGCCACCACGCCCGGCTATTTATTTTTATTTTATGTAAATGAGTATTTTCCCTGCATGTACGAAAATATACCCATGTTGTACAAAGCCTGAAGGAGCCAGAAGAGGGTGTCAGATCCCCTGAAACTAAGAGTTACAGAGGGTTGTCAGCCACTATGTAGATGTTGGGGATCAAACCTGGGTCCTCTGAAGAGCAGGCATTTCTCAAGTCCAATTTATTTTCATTTTTAATTATGTGTTTATGTGTGTCTGTGTGTGGGTTGTGCAGGTAAGTGTAAGTGCCCTCCGAAGCCAGAGGTGTTAAGACCTTTCTGAGCAGGAATTACAGGCAGCTATGAGTCACCTGACATGGTTGCTGGGAATTGAACTCAGGTTCCGTGGAAGAGCAGTAAGTGTGGCTCTTACCTACTGAGCCATCTCTCCAGCCCTGATTTATTTAATTATTTTATGTGTGTAAGTGTTTTGGTGGCATGTATGTAAGTACAACACATGTATACAATACCTGCAGATGCCAGAAGAGGGCAATGAATTCCCTGGAACTAAAGTTATAGAGAGTTGGGCGTGGTGGTACATGCCTTTAATCCCAGCACTCAGGAGGCAAAGGCAGGTGGATCTCTGTGGGTTCAAGGTCATATATAGTGAGTTCTAGGCAGCTGGGGCTATAGGGAGGCCCTGTCTCAAAAAATGACCTCCTTGGAAAAAAAAGTTATAGACAGTTATTAACTGCCATGTGGGTGCTGGGAATCAAACCCAGGTCTTCTGCAAAAGCAGTCAGTGTTCTTAAGCTATCTCTCTAGCCCCTGTGAGGCATTTTCTTGGTTGTTATGTGATGTAGGAGGACCCAGTCCAATGTGGGTGGTGCCACCCCTGGGCAGGTGGCTCTGGGTTATATAAGAAAGCATGTTAAGCACAGGTCAGAGGAGCAGGTCAGTAAGCAGCATTCCTCCACAGTCTGTGCTTTGGTTCCTATAGCCAAGTTTCTGCTAACTTCCTACCTGACTCCCTCAAAAATGGACTGTGCCTTGGAAGTATAAATGAAGGAAACCCTTTCTTCCCCAAGTTGCTTCCAGTCATGTTTATCACTGCAACAGACAGCAAACTTTGTATTGTGCACGTCTCAGTGAGTATTTTAAATTCAACAGAGTTCTTGAAGAGGTTTACCTGGGGAAGACACATGTTGTCATCTCCTTAAAGTCATTCAAGTCCTAAAAAGCAAGAGCACACCACAGTATCATTAAAAAAATATGTAAGCAGCTTAGCTGTTTTCTCAAACAGTAACTATAATGGCTCACATGGGTCTTAAGTGCAACAGAAAAATCTACTTCTAATTAATAATTTAAAAACCAATCTGGACCAGCAAAATGAGTCAATGGGTAAAGGCACCTTCGCCAAGCCTGAAAACCTAAGTTCAATCCCCAGAACTAACATTGCAGAAGGAGAGAACTAACTTTTCTAAGTTGTCCTCTGACCTCCACATGCCCACATACATACACTATATATAAATATACACACCACACACACACACACACACACACACACACACAGAGCAAGATGACTCAGTGGGTAAAGCTATCAAGCCTGATGACCTGAGTTTGATCCTTGGAATTCACATGGTGGAAGGAGAAAAGTTGGCCTCTGATTGCCATACACATATACCTCAGTTTCCACACATATGCACGTGAACAATTAATAAATAAATGTAATAAAAAAGTTTTAATCTAATAAAATCTTAATTCTCACTCATTGGGAACTATATGACTTGGATAAGTAACTAGCTCAGCATGAGGGCACACACCTATGATCCTAGCACCTGGGAGGCCAAGGAAGGTGGATCTCTATGAATTCAAGGCCAGCCTGGTCTACATAATGAGTGCCAGGCCAGTCAGAGCTACATACTGAGGCCATGTCTCAAAAAATAGGGGCTAGAGAAATAGCTCAGTGGTTAAAAGCACTGACTGTTCTTGCAGAAGACCTAGCTAACAACTGTCGGTAGCTCTAGTTCCAGGAGATCTGACACCCTCTTCTGGCCTCCATGGGCATAGCACACATGTGGTACATTTACATACAGGCAGGCCAAACACTCATACGCATTAAAAAATTAATTAAAATTTTAAAAAATAAGTAAATGAAAAACTTTTGATAATCAAGGGGTTTGTGGCTGCACTAAAGAGACAGCAGTCCTGTTATATGTAAAACACTGCATTCTTGATAGGTTGCAGTACCTTCAGATGCAGGCTGTGCTCCACTACACAGGCTTATTTTAAACAGTGACACTAGTAGTGTCATTGTATTAAATGGCCAACAGAGGAAATGGACACATTGTAAACTAGTTTATACCTCTATTGAGACCATCTTTGAATGGTAGCTAAAATGGCTATTAAATACAGACCTTTCAACATACATGATTCCTGCTTTAAGTGCTCAGAAAATTGCTAAAGTGGCACTAATAGCAAGTACCTAAATTAGACTATTCATTTCCCAAGTTTACTTTGATCAGGAAGTCAAGAGCAGAAATGAGAATACTCTAATTTTGAATTAACTCATTTACATACAAAGTTGCCATGCTAGCCTGGGTAATCACACTCCTGACCCTTTGTAAGCCACACCTCTTCAACGTTATTCATGTTTCATACCAAGCTGCCATTTCCAATTAGCTTTTCAAGCCTGTAAACACAGCCTATATTTAGCTAGCTTGAAATACATACCAGCTTTTCAATGGTTGTCTGATGTTAAATCAATGGACAATACATGAATAAGTGGTTCTAAGGCTAAATCAAACGAAAATGCTGTAATGACTGTTTTTCACCTTGCAACACCACTTTGAAGTTCTGCAAGCAAGAGAAAAGCAGAATTATGGCTACCTCCAGAACTGACAGAGTTCTAGACCAACACCTTCTACAAGGTCTGCTCAAGTAGCAAGTAGTTTCACAAAAGGCTCTCCCCTAAAAGGCACCTCCAAGACACAGTCTTCTTTTTCTTTTTTTTAGCCTTTGTGTGTGTGTGTGTGTGTGTATGTGTGTATGTGTGTGTGTGTGTGTGTGTGTGTGAGAGAGAGAGAGAGAGAGAGAG